GAACTTTGTGGAGGCTTGATTTTCCCCTTGCAATTGGCAAATAGATCTCCGTATTACCAGTGAATCTGATCTACAACCAAACGTTGTGGATCTGATTACATACAATTCAAACTTTTGGAGGCAGGGAATGTGTTTTCCTGAACATGTCCATTTCTCAGGTGTAGAAAACCCAAGTAAAACCCATGGAGAATTGCATGAAGTCCCAGGCCATGTGCACAGCTGCACGTAGCCCAAATGCAGGTCATCTATCCGAGTTCAGAGGCATGTATTCATGCTTCAGTGTCAGATCAAGCAACCGACTGCAAAGTTTTTGTTAAATGACTATTTTCTGTCTGTCATGCAGTGTATGAGTGTGGTGGCAATCTGAAGTTAACTGAATTCACAACAAAAAAAGAATAGTTTTATTTTTAACCTATGAAAATATAAGTCAATCTTTTCTTTGAGTGGATTATTGTTGCTACCACATGGGAAGCTTAAATCAGAGACTTTTACAAATCACCTTACAAATAATGTGCAGTGAACCAGACAGGTAGATGTACAGTAACCTGTTTACATTTTCTGCCTGACAGTAACTGTTGCTCTCTCCCTATAAACACTATGAACAAAAACCAAGCATCATATCACCTCCATGAAATACAGCAAAACCATACTGCAGTCAAGTTTAAGTAGGCACCGATACCGTTTATACATAAGTACATCCTCATGACTTCTTTTGAGCACAGAAAACATTATCTTCATTTTGCTGAAGAAGGAACATCAGGAAATTCTGACCCTACAAAAATCAATGGAAATTTTACCACTGAAGGCAGGACGTCACCCAGAAAAAGTAAATAGCAGACCTTCAAATGTATTTAGAAATCTATTACAGCCTTAAATGCAGTCAGAAAGCACTGACTAAGCACAGCAAAATACATCAAGTATTGTGTTTTATAAAGCTATATAAAGAGTTCCCCAAGATACTCTTCTCCATATTCTGCCATCACTTTACATTAATACATGGTTGAGGTTTTAGGCACTGGGGAAACATCCTCCTCTGCCAAGAAGCTAGTAATTTAAAGACAACAAGGTCATGTCAAAGATGTACACCAAGTGTTTGGGGAGGAGGAGGAACGGAGAAACAGTACTCTGAACTTCATTTACATTTAGTACAGAAGAAATAACACATTTTAAGGAGGTGGGTGGAGGTTTAACCCCTTCACTCCAGAATCCTTTGCCACACTAGGTTGAAAACAGTGTTGAAAATATTTTCTGTTATTTGGTGGGGTTAATAAACCAGCAGATGCATCAATATTGCCACTGAAGAATAAATCCCATTTCCATATTATGCACTCTGGAATATTTTGTAATATTTTGAAGTCCTTCATACAGCTCTAGGTTTGGATCTAGAGGTCTGAGTGCAACATAATGCCTCCATACCACATGGCGTAAAACTGAGGACTTAAAATGGAGAATGCTGGTCTTACAATTTTGCTCACTGAACCCAATGAAAAACAGGCACCTTAACATAAAGCATAAACCATTTAAACGGGGACTGAGGAAAATACAGCTGAGCAAGTGCTGTGTTATTCAGTCCAGCTGGTGGGAGCTGGTGATGATACAGGAGGTACAAAGTTTCATTTCTACTGGGATCTGGGGTATTCATTTCTGACTGAAGAGCACAAGGCCAGAAAGAAGTCTTGGACAGAAATCTGGTGACCAAGAATAGAGAGATTAATTGTATTGCTGTAAATCCCACTGACATCAAGGCAAATATACAAGGAGAAAGTCATGACCCCAACCATCTGTTTACAGATAAAGGAAAAAAAAAAAGTTTTTCAACTCCCTCAGATTTTGAGAAAAACAAGACAGAGCTTGGGGAAAAAAAAAGTCACCACCCCAGAAAACCCCACTGATCAATCCTGATTATAAAAATGAGAATCCATACCTCTCTATGTTCAAACCTTTAAGTGTGTGCTATGAAATAAAACCACTCTCCCACAGCAGTGTGAAACACAAGCTGTGGGTATGTCAACAGCATGGAATGATTAAGCTGCACTTTGGTGTATATGTCTCCATAACATCAATGCATCTGCGCTTATTATCATCAACACTAAGAAACGCTGCAGAAAGGTGCGGAGTGCATCTCCAACACAAGGCTGGACGTATTCTTTTACCCTAAAACATCTCCAGGGCATAAATAGTTGCTCTTCATTTTATTAATTATTCAAAAAGGTATTACTGCTTTAATTCACTTGCTGTGCACGGAAGGCAGTAAGTTTGTTTTGTAATGAAAAATCTCACTTGTCACTATATAAAATAGATGTAGCAGATAGTCTTATTTTGATGTCAGCCTGCTTCTTCTGCCTGTGTGTTTCATCACTGTCAATGGAGCCTTAGGCTTAAGTAGACTATGCTGCTTCTCCCCCTTCTGTCCCCAGTTCTCAAGGACAGAAACTGTGGTCATGCAAATACAGATTGTTTATTGCAAACATCCTAAAAAGTCATTAATTATTTTTGGCTGCTGTAATAGACAAATATGCCTCATTTTTGTAGGAATTACAAAATCTCTGCACTTCCAATCAGATGCCACTGGGTTTATATTAGGACATCATGAGCTCAGCAAAATGTATGAGATTCTAAGGTTGAAGATGTATTTGTAGTATTTCTGTCCCTTCTGCACTCCTTCCTGTAAAAGTGAAAAGTATTTCTGCTTTTTAGAGCAGAAATTATACTTCATGCAGTAATGATGACAACCACATGGATTCTAAACAAAAGCAATGGCTTGCACGAACAAGTGCCCACTGTACTGCTAATGCGCTAGAGAGAAGCGCTGCATTATTGCCTGGTAATAGTCATAGTTTTCCATCTCTGGCATTTACTCAATTTTCAGATATAAGTGTGAAAGTTTAAGCCACTGAAAAGCTATTAAGGAGAGACCACAACATAACTAGCACTGAAAAAAGCAGCTCCTGAAAGGCAAAATCAGAACACCAAGGTTAGAGGTCCTGTCCTGACAAGGCACAAATCTGGCAGTGCAGATGGTTTACAACAACTTATTTGCCAGTTAAGAATTTCTCCAGCATGGAGCCATCCCAGTCATCATCCGTTCTCCTCCCTCCACAGTCCAAGCACAACGGGGATGGGGAATGACATGTTCACACTACATATAGCTAGTTTGACAGCCCTCAGAATGCTAACGTAGGCCGTACAAGACAGAGTGGCTGCTCTATGTATTAAATTAGGCTACTCTAATTTAAATTGGTTGGGATGTGGCCAAAATTCTGCTAGAACTGGCATGCTGCAGTCAGGGCTTAAATGCGTCTTTGTTCAACATCTTTGGTTGCATGGAAAGATGCTTACTTCAGCTGAAGTGTGAGCTGGAGCGTAAGCATAATGTCTTCGATACCTTCCTCTCCATGGCTTTGTGAAGCTAAGTGGCCTGACAAAGATGCATTTTGTTTACTGGTCCTCATGCCTTCCCCTCCCAATAACACAAGTGCTCCAGCAAGGAGTGCCTGAAGCAAACATGGTTGGACTTGTCTCAAGATTGGGAGCCTCAAGCCTGCAACACTGATTAGCTAACACGTACGGATCTATACTAACATAGGCTGCACAAAATAGGGTAACTAGCTCTTTATATACAAAAGTAAAAATCATATTCCGTACTAAGAGAGAGCTTTTGTGGCCCCACTGCAGAGGCATGGAAATTTGGCCATAAATGAGAGCACTCCATAATCAAAATCAGAACCGTTTTACTAGCAGTGAGTAACTAGCAATGAGGCGGGCTACAGCTCTAACACAGCTGACAGGAAGGACTGGGGATGGACTGCTGCTTGTGGTGGAAGTAAACGTGAGTCAGTCTCCCCCATCTTTTTTTGAACAAGGGAAAACAAAATAGTTTCTAGAATCGCAAACCAGAATCAGTTTCAGGAAGAATGTAGTGAAACGTACTGCAAGGGCACCACAAGAAAAGTGACATTTCCACAGCTACGGGAAACCCCGAATTCATTCGTTGCACTCTTTTTCTACTATTCAATTTTATATCATATTCAAATTTATTCTTCATTAAATCCTACTGCTTTAGTCTCTAATACAGCTAATTTCTGACAAAAGATTTATAGGCATGCTGTTTGAAAACACATCACCTATTTCAGCAAACAGACACAGGAAGGAAGCAAAAACATTATTTCCCTCTTCACCTCTCTTTTCCCCCCTCCCCTCCCTTCCTCCAATAGGCTGGTTTCATGCTTGTTGCTCTACTTCTGGATGTGATCATAAACTGGCTCAAAACATTTGCCTTGCAGGGACAAAATCCCACCGATTGCCTATACAGATCCACATTTCTGGCCCCTTTTTCTTCCTCTCTTCTTCAGAGCATCTACCTTTCTCACCTTTCATTCTTCTTTTTTCACTTGTTTTTCTTAACGACCATCTGGTACATAGTTCAGAAGGCACAGTGCAATAACTGAAGGGGAATCACCAGTACGAGACTTATGCACCCCTTAATCCTTTACACTTTGAAGGTGTAAAGAAGGCCAGCACGGTACACCGGCTAGCAATGAAAAAACAACGAAAACAAAACTAGAGAGCCCAACCCACGTATTTCTGGAAAAATCCTTGTTCACAATAGCAAATGTTATCCTGCAATATAAAAAGCGGAGTACATTTTATAGCTTATATTGATTAGTCATTCTGTCCTTTCAAAATATTTCATAAATTTTGCCTGCATGTACTTTCCTTTGTGATAGTATTAGTCAATCTCAAAGTGATTTACAAAAGAAGTCAGTATTATGTTTCCTATCTGACAGGCAGGAAACTGAGCTAGAGACAAGAGACGGATCAAAGGTCAGATAGCTGGCTGGTAGCAAAGATAAGGCTAGTTTCCATTTCTCCAGACTTCCAACTCAATGCTGCAGCAAATACGTCCCTCTGCTTCCGTCTCCGGGTGAAATAAAGTTCTTTCAAGATAGTTTTTACATGAAGTATTTAGTAATCACGAATGGTACATTTACAAAAAAAATTTGTCTGGAAGTGGCATACAACGCTATTCAGGTATATTTGCATATATCCTACAAATTACTCGATTAATAAAACGCTGTCTTCACTCCTTTTAGAAAGAAAACAGCTTTCTAAAACATAACAAACATAATAATAATATGACATATAACATAATAAATGCAGTGAGACATTAGTTTCAGACAAATGAAGCCATCTAGGCAATCACCTTTAGATGTTACCTACCAAATTTTTGGTCAAACCTCCATGCTGGAACGTGTGCATTGTGCTTCAAGTTGCTGCTTGTTGGCAGAGGCACTGTGACATAGATGGGGCCATTCACGGGGATTGGAGACCCATCGCTGTTGAGGAGATGAACACTGACTGCAGTGACAGGGGTGAGGTCATACCTAGTGCTGTTTCCTACCGAGAGAATGAATGAACATTGTGACTATAGAATTTCCCAGAATTTAAGATACACTCACGTGGTTCAACACTGCAGTACTAGACCGACACATTTCTCAAGGGATGATAGTAGTAATCTTCCCTACCTTACAAAACTCACAACAACCGAGACTTATATGCTACTCTATTTTTTTACTTAATTTTGGAAAATTCTGAAGACAAGAAAATTACAATGCAAAAATCTCCTTCACATATTTTCTCATCTTCATTAATCTTAAACTAAATACATATGAGTATCACAGCCATAATCACGGCCAAAAAAATACCTCACAAGCCTTTATTTGCATAAGTCCATATTATAACTAACAAGCAACACTGCAAGGGTGATTGGTCGTATGTTTAAGAATACCAGGATGTATTTCCTTTGGCCTTTCACTGAAATAAACCAAGCAAAATGGATTATTAGGATACACATTGTTATCTTCTTGTCTATGGAAGATAATAATTACTCTTTATATTTAATCTGCATGCCAGTGGACATTACTCCATGACAACACGATTTAAAAAAAAAAGTTATAACCCTTCGACCATTTAACCAAATGAATCAATGACAGGGAATCATAACGAAGATATATATATGTATTCAGGGGGAAAGAAAGCTTTAGGTTTAAAACCAAGGAGATCTGGAGCTCAAAGCGATAGCTGTAGTAGTTTAAATCAAAGGGATGGAGCTTCGAGTCTCGTAAGGGGCTTGAGCCCACCCCGGTCCACACTGCTGCTAAGAGCAGCAGCCCTGCTGCCTCCTTCGTGCTGGCTCCACAGGTTCTGCAGCCGCTCATCCTGCTGTGGGGCTAACCTGAGAGAAGGAGCAGGGGTGCCTGGCTGGCAGAGAGTGGGGTACTGCCCCTCCGGTAATCCTGGTGCCTTACAGCAGCCTAAACTGCCTGTAAAAGCACATTTGCGCCCAACAGCGGTATGCCACCTGCAACACCAAGGCGGCCTCAGGAACACGCACCATCTCGGCGCCGGCGTTCATCGGGATGAGCACATTTCAGGGGGCAGTGGGAAAGCAGAAAGACCCTTAGGATTTCTCTTAACAGTGAGTAAGTCTCAAGGAATGGCCTTTATTAAATTCGATGTCTCTGAGTAACAGCTCACCAAAGTTAAGACATCACCAGGAAATGGGAGTGGGAGCGGCAAAGGAAAAGCAAAAAAAGGCAAAACTCCTCAGAATTTTAAATTCTTTTAATTTTGCAAGAGGTGCCAAACTGAAGACACGGAAAATAACCAGAAGTAACTTTGCGTGTGGCTGATTTACTATAGCTTCTACTGTGACACGCATTTTCCCCAGATTTCAAAGGTGAGTGCCACCGTTGCACAACTGCCGGGCCAAGGATGGATGAAAGCACGAGCAGGGGGTATACACCCCGCTTTGATCTAGCATGAACTGAGGGGCAGAAGCACATCTTCCAGCGGCATTAAAGTGCTGAGAAAATAGGCACTCTGAAGGTGGCCCCAGAGCAAGAGATAACTGGGAGAAAAAAACAGAAAAATAAGGTTTGGGAATTCAGCCAGGGTGTAGGAGAAGGTTGCCAGCCTACCCAAGCATTTTTATTACAGACTCCAGTGATGCATGGTATCATTCCTTACAGCCTCAGAATATAAAGCAGAGAGACAGAGGAAGGAATTGGTGGGGAAAAAGTTGTTCCTTTATTTCTGATAGTTCAATCCGCTGCCTCTGCCATGCATACCTATAACTTCTGTCAGATTGTTGCCTGTCCCCAAGTCACTGGACTTGGGACACTAAGTTTCTCAGGCTGTTATCAGAGCAATAAATTCCTGTTGCTAAGTATCATAACCTGACCACATTTTGGCATATACAAATTCCTAATGACAAAAGGTGTAACTTCAGATTTTAGAAACATTTAGATTAATATCTAAGCTTAAATTATACTTGGTATTTTACTTATTTTTAGATATTGAAAGTTCTGAATTTTTCTTTCATTACTGTCTTGATAAAGCATATCTGCCTACTATCTGTAAAAATGAGTTTTCAGCCCCAGAAAAAGCATTCTGACGGTGAAACACTTAGTAACATTTTCACTTAAGATGCACTGACACTTTGCTCAGTACTGGGCTGAACAAGTTATAATATAAGAAGAAGAAATTTCTGAAATCCACTGATGTCTGGCAAGAAGAAAGGATACTTAAGGTTGCTATCTTGCACAGTGTGTAAATGCTCATTAAAAAGATAAATTTTTCTCTTTTACATTGTGAAGGTAAATTAAAATCAATGCTTATGAAACTCTCACATGCTATAAAACTGATAAGCACATGCACAGATTAAATGGGAATGGACTTCAATAAATGTCAGCTTTCATTTATTTCCTGTAATTTTTGACATCTAGTGACCTGTGAAGAGTTCTAAAAATAATCAGAGGAAAATCCACTGTGACTTAGACTTGACTCTTCATAAAGAAACAAACAGCCTACATAACCAGCAGGAGCAATGGTTATTAGCCAGCTTGGTCCATTACTGCAGACGATGGAAAGTTTTTCTTAGTTTTGTTAAACGGACAAGACTTTGTGAAACCATCTCACTGCTCTCCAACTGGTGATTAATACAAACAGTACGCTAACACTATACAGGTTTGTCGCTACTTGCAGCTAAATTCTTTGAATTTTCATGTTTGGAACATGCCGATTCATGCAATGAATTTTCATTGCTCCATATTACTACTTCAACACCCAGCTAGGATTTTGTGAAAACTGTGGAACTCACAGAGAATCGGTCTTAACTAAAGCAACTGTAAAGTCACTCCAGATAAATACTAGCCAGAAAACTGAGCTGATTGAAACAAATGGGAGGACCTCTCCAAAACTCTACAGACATGTAAGTAAACTGTGAAAGAACAGAAGAGTAACTGGGGGGAAGGAGAGGTGGGAGAGAGGGGAGAAGGGACAATGCTCAGGACCACTCAAGAATTTCCCATGCAAATTAATGCTAAATTTTTTCAGAATTCTAAAATTTGTACACATTTTTCTTTTTCTCTTGAGAACAGAAATATTCAAAAATGCCCAGCAGGTGGTGATCTCATTTTTTATGCCTTCAAAAGTTTTTCAGGTGGAATCTTCACCAAGTCGCTTGGAGATGAAGAAAAAGAAATGAATTCAATTTTAGGATTTTAATGTTTAATGTTTCCACAGCAGTAGAAACTGCTACTAAAAATGGAGGACATTTCACCTATACTATAATGCATATACAAATATATTGTATTTGTAGTCTGTATTGTATCACACTGAATACTACAGTATTCAGAAAACAAGGCTCTTCTCAGTCTCTTAAACCCCATTTCTTTGCCCATCATTTTGGTCTTTTGTGACATACTTTTACTTGAAGGCTAATAAAAGTCCAATCCAGGGCTCCCATGCTCAAGTAGAAAAGTTCCTGTCATGCAAGCATACAGAAGACTAAAAAACCAAGGGTGTGTTCATCTCTTTTTTTAGGAAGCTAAGGAGGTAAAGCAGGAGAAAGATGATGCCCAGTTGTGTAGTTCCCATGACAGGTCATTGTCTGAAATCTTGGCAAGACCTGTTTTCACTAAATAAATGCAAGGGTGGGAAGTTGGGTTGCAGAGTACTAAGGAAATATTTGGGAGAGGAATCCCACACACATTGCCAACAGTTTGTTCAGTAGGTTTAGAGATAAAAGGGAAGGAGATGAGGAAGTAGACAGATGAGTAAGATCAAGTGCATTCCTTCGTTTTAAAAAAGATAAGAGATATTTGATCCTGTCTGAGTATGAAGAGCCAGAGAAAACTGAAGGTTGAACATGAGAATAGGGAAATGACAGAGACATAGAACGAGATAGGATGAGATGTACTCACTGGAGCAGACAGAAGGACTGGAGTAAGGTGGCAGACACGTTTCTAATTGTAATAGAAAAGGAGATACTCGGATTTGTACAAAGGGAAAGGGAAATTTATTTTTCCTTTTTTTTTATTGAGGAAAAGCTAGCAAGCTCAGTACATGCTGTTTACATGCATAACCTAGCATTCAAAATCACCTAGATCAACACATCACAAGCAAATGTGTCCTGAGAAACAGCAGGAAGGGACCTCAAGGGATTATTTAGCCTGCTTCAAAGCAGGCTCAGCTACGCCCGTGCCATCCTCACAGGGGATTATCTAACTCTGTCCAGCACCCTCAAGCAATTGATTCTACAGCTTAAACTATCCTCACCACAGCAAGGTTTTCTAATCACTCATCTGAATCTCTCTTGCTGCACTGCAAAGTCCACTGCTTGCTTTCTAACCCGACAGGGACACAGAAAACATTATTCTCCTTTTCACAGCAGTTTTTTAAGAATTTGAAGACTTCTGTGCCCAATTCTTCTATTTTTCTGTAGTTTACACAACAACAATTATTTCAATCAAGACTAAATGAGAACTGGATTAACAGTAACAGGTAGTTGCAGTCATAAAAACGTGTTACAGCTTTGAATTTAACAGTGGTTATGTTTCTAGTATGAATTTTCATTGTTTTCTCTTTGGGGCTAATTGAATTCACACATTTTTGGCTAAAGCTAGATTCAAAAGTATTAACAAAGCCATTGAAATAACTCTTAGCTAAAACAAAACAGTATTAAATCCTTGATATATAGGCAATTTATTTTAGAGAAAAATTGAGCAAGAATTTATGGTATCCTCAAGTTAAATTTTCTTTTGTCCCTCCACATTAACCTGCATTTTTGTATGTTCAAATGTATGTGCACATTTGGAGACTTAACTCTAAACTACAAGTGTAACAAACTTTTCTGATCTCCCAAAGCCAAGGAGTCGTCTTCTTTGCTATTCAGTGGCCCCATTTAAGGGATAGCGGACCTTGCCCTCTTGCTTATTGGAACAGCATTTTGGTAGGGCAGGTGAGCCTGTCAGGTCATCCAAATTTTGAAGAATGTTTGCTGGAACAGGGAATGGAAAAAATGATTTGGTCAAAAGTTGATCCCTGGGCCAAAATGAAATCAGAGCAAAAACAAAGTAGTGTGTTACCTGTTCCATTTCCATCTAATCCCTGCAAATAAGGAAAACTGTCCACTTCCCAGGGTGAACTGGCTGCGGTTAGATATGCTGTCAAATCACTGTAGCTAGTGTTCTCTGGTAATTTCACAGATCTTCTCTGAAAGTGAACTTGTGGCTGAGTCCGTGCACCTAAAAAAATTAAAAGTGACTTTATACCCAAAGCAGGCAGAGTAGTTAGGTGTTCATATTTATGGAAGTGCATTTTCTTTTTTTTTTTCATTATAAATTGAAATGGCTTGACAAGGACAGACACATCAGAAGGCTATTATAAGAGAGGAGGAAAACTAGTATTTTTACATTTATTTGGCAGTTGTCATTATTTTTCCACAAGTATCGCTGAGCAAAATTGTGAAAGCATCTTATGTCAGAAGCTTTTCTGACCATGTTATTTGCCAGGATCACCTCAAATTTCATTATACGCTTCTTACAGTGAATAGAACTGAAATTAAAACTGAGTTCAGAGGTAGGGCATGTGAAAACTTAGAAAAGCATCCACTTCATCACTTCTGTTTAAATTCTGTTTTTCTTGAAACAGCAAGATAAATTTAGTTTACACTCCTTAAAGTGACTTTCTAAGAGACTACAATTCTACCTGTAGTCCCAATTAACTTGTGTAATTTCCATATTTAATTTTAACAAAGCTTTGGACACATTAACTATCAGTAGTACTGAGATAATAATCATTTTTTATTTAAACCACTGGATAAAAAGATTCACTTGACAAAGCCTGAGTGAGAAGAGTTTCCATATTTTCCCATGCAAAGAACACATCTAAACAGAACCACATAACTTGGCATGTAAGATTTCTCTCTTTTCCTCCATCTTGTACAGTTTCAGTGTTTTTTTCAAGATCACTACGTGTTAATTGAAGGGTCTTTGCTGCAACACGACTTAAGACTGCGTCATGTACTTTCATGCACTTCATGTCTCATTTAGATCTCAGTTTATAAAGTCAATAGTCTTTTTCAATGGATGTTCACCAGTGATACTGTTTTAACAACACACAGCAAGACTCCATCTGCAAGTCTGTGTGTGCAACATGCAAATTAATTTTAAAATCAAATGCTATTGTATTCTCCAGAGCTCATTTTGAATATTCACAGAACACTCCCCACACAGCACAGAATCAAGAGGCAAACCGTTTTTTTCTTAATTCACGTTTGAGTATGTGGTTCAAAGATGTCAACTCAAAATAATTTTTCTTCTTTTCCCCTATTAGTCTCTGGCAGCTCTTTTAGGTTACATGTAACTTCGCTGAGAGCAAGATTAAAGAGCTTGACTCACAACTCCTAAACTTTGTAACTGCCAATGTCATTAACCAGGAGACTGGAATCTTGCATTATTTTGTAGCAGGAGCTCTAGCTATGTGAAAACTTATATAAAATTCCACAGAACAAACTTTGTACTGGCCAACAAAAATTGCTATGTAGGCGGGCAAGTGTCTCCAAAGAGCTCACCATTGTTTAGCTGTCATTTCTTTGGTAATTCTGCAAGAAAATGCTGTAAAACAACTTTCCTTTTTTAATTTCTGAAACATTTAAGTATTTACAGCAAGCAAGCTGTATCCCTAGGTGTTTAAGATAATCATTAAACATCACTCGTGTGAAATGGGAAGAAACCTCCCTTACCCAATTTCTAGGCTTAAATGGAAAACAACATAAAAGACTAAATAAATTGACTGCAATGAACTCAGGGAAAACTTAGCTCTTGAGTGCTCTGCAGTACCGTTGTAGTTTGCTGTACCTCAGGGACAGATCTGCTCAAGCACTCGGGAACCTCTGACTGCGCTGCTGAGCGGGATCCTACGGCCCGCAGGGATAAGCATCCACAGTAACAAAACAGGAAAAAAAAAAACCACAACAAAGAAACCACCATTAGGATTATCACTAACAGTTCCATGTAAAATTGTAGGATTTTCTGCTGTCTAAATCTCTGGTTAAGATGAATTATTCAAGTTGCCAAGAACCAGTATTACGTTTCCGAAGAGCCTAAATAATAAAGAATTAAAAACAAAGTAACTGTAATTGAGTCTGTCACCCAGCAGTTTATGCGAAGCTCTGGGGTTTTCTACTAAAAATATGGTTGTTTTGTAGCACTGGGAGAGCCACGAGCTACCAAATTTAACTAGATAAGGAGGACTTAGAAAGCCAACCTCAGTTTCATGAATCCTACAAGCAACACAAGGCGTTCCTATGGCTGAGCCCCAAACCCGGCAGGAAACCTGCACAGCAATCAAGTCGGATGCAAGTTTTAAGGTGGAAGAAATGGCTTCCTCTGCAGATAGTGCATACACATACAATAAATCTGTGCAGAGTAGTTAATTCACACCCTAGATTAACAAACTCCTTGATATTAACAGTCACCCAAAACCTGCCACTCACCCTGACTCTCCCCTCGTATCCTCAGTTGGGTCTCCACAAACCCAGCAAGAGACTTCAAAGGGGCAGAAGACTGGGAGCTACCAGCAAAAGGCTTGTGAGGGAAGCAGCTACCAAGGTTTTTGCCCTCTCTCACTACCTTGCTAGAAGATAATCCAACGTACTCCTTTAGCAGAGGTCAGAGAGGATTTTGGGGCATATGTTTGGGAATAGACTTATTGAGGGAACTGGCAGTGGCAAAATGGAGAGAAAGACTTGTGCTGACCAGACTCTTAGACTATTTTTCAATAAGTCAACACTTATCAATACGAGTGGATTATTATTGCTTCTATTACTGAAGATGCCTAGTTTTGACTTATAAAACCCAAACACATTCAAGTATAAAATTGGCACGTGAGCCCTTTCCACTTGGCAAGTGCCATGAGGTAAAGGACTGCTAAGCACTGATCTTACCCTCTTTAAACATCCTCTTGTCAACACACCGGCCAAGATTCAAATGCTGTCAGCTCCAGTTTGACAGCCCACACCTGAAGATGTAACCATCTCAAGGAGTCCCTGTAAGGCACCTCTTGTCACACTGGATGTGACATGTGGCATCACACCGGCATTTGAGCTTCAATCTGTGTGAAGTAACATCTGAAGTACCATCAATTCATGCTCTGATTGCTCCTATGTCAGAGGCAGATAGAGGGTACCCATACAGCTCCCATTCACTGAATGCTGAAGTTCAGCTCATCACTGTGCTGGCATTAAATAACTTAAATGACCCAGCGGCTGGCAAGCTCCATCCCTCGCAATTACTGACAGAGAGCAGCGGCGGATTGTAATGCCATCATGAAAATGAAGCTGGCTGCATCAACTCAGACAAACTTCTCAATTGCATAATAAGTTGCTTGCTTGATTAATTATTCAAAAGCAACTGGTAACTTATTGTACTATACAGGCCTTTCTTTCCCTTTGACTGGTGCTTCAAACACCAGTGTTCCCAGTCTGTTCCTGGTATAATGAGTTCTGTTTTGCTCTCGTTGTTGCACTAAGGTAACTCCTGATCAGCTCTTTTGAAGCAGCACAGAGTTACTGAGAAATAAACTGGAGAAATAACAGAGAAAAACTAGGTCGCAAGGATTTTGGATCGAGACTAGAGAGGCTCCATTCAAATGCTGGTACAATGTCTAGGCTGTCTTTCATTTAGGTTTCATTACAAGAGAATTCCCAAGAAAAGGAGCGTGGGCTGGTCCCATAAAATAGTTTTTACTGGGCAAGACTCGGAGTTTAAATTCCAACCCTTAGAATACTCTGGGTACCACTTTCTTCCTTTATCCTCTTTCTCTGCTATACCAGCAGAACCAGTTATATTATTCTAATTTAAATATATTGGGAACACCTTGGATCAATTCACTGAAGGGAGAAAGATTAAGTGGAAAATATTTATGAGTGTCACTTGGCTGTTAAATGTCCCTCTAACCCTTTAACGTCCCTGTTTTTTTGAAGAAAGGAAGCTGTAAACATGAGAAGATTGTTGTTTTTAAGTTAATTGCATAATATTAGCACATTTGCATAAGAATAAGAGTGTTTAATACACCATGCTAGTAGAATACTGTTGGTAAACAACTTTTCATGTTTTGTCTAATGGAATCCCTTGTGGTTTAACACAGTTCACCACCCATCTTATCTAACCTGTTAGATGTCAGCTCTCAAACTGCAGAATATACGTACGGCAGCTGTGCTGTTCTCCAGCTCCTTCTGAGCATTCCATCAGCTACCTACTTTGTTTAGTGCTTTTTCAGCTCCAGTCATATCTAGTGCTATCGTTAATGAAAAGCCTATTCTGTCTGGATGGTTTCTAACCGTAAAAAAATGCCTTCCTCCGTCAGGAAGGCATAATTGTATTGTATTCCCTCAGATAAAAAAAGATTATCTTGGAATATTATTGAAGGTAGTATTCCTCTGTTTATTAACTATCTGGTAGAGTTTAAAATGATGGTAATCATAATACACGTGAATAAGACATAGTTTATGCACAATAAGAGTGCTCACAGCAAGGATGTCCCCTTGTTTTGGCTTGTCAAGGTATCTTTAAAAACTTCTGTTCTTTTGTTAGCAGACTTACCTCAGCTATTACATCAATTGGGCTAAGTTAGGTCAGATCCCAAGGTCAGATAACATTTTATTCTTTACTGTGCAATTTAGAAAACACAGTGTTCTTCTGACTGATACTACAGTTGCTTTAACTTCTGTGTTTGGCCTTAGGAAAAGGTAATTCGAACTTTATTCTTCTAATACAGTGGGTTTCATCCTGTAGTATGTAGGTTTGCAGGCAGTCTGATAAGAGGTCCACAGGAAGTACTTAAGAAAAGCAAGTTTATAAAGATAGGGTATGCAACAATGCAGATGTGAGAAATTTTCAATTTTTCTATGCCCTAAATTTCTAAGGCATTCCCCGTAGGAAGGAAGAAATGAAATAAAACCAGAGAAAATTCTTAGACAATAAGAACACCAGAAAATGTTTACTGCAAGTGTGGTTAAATGAGGCTAGATGAAAAAACATCCAACAGATAGTGAAAGAAATTTAATCTCCAGCTCTCAAATAGCACACTGAAGTCCAAACTTGTTTATTACCACGTAACTCAAATTCCCTAGTCACAGCAGTTAGGGAAGAATTTAGCTATTAATCAGTTTGCTAAAACCATCCCACAGAGGAGTGTTCCTCAGGGAACTCAGAAGTTCCCATGAAATAGCAGTCTCACCCACGGGATCGAGTTCAGAAAGTAGCGGGCTGTCATGCTTTTTGTTTAGTGTCACTCAAATTTCCATTCGACTTCCAAAAACCATCATACCTTGAAATCCTGATACTATCTGGACTACATCGTCATAGACCATCAGGGTAGCTGAGCGTTCGGGAAGAAGGCCGAGACTCAGTGAAGAGAACACTGTGGGAGAGAAGTGGTTTAAGTGGGATATATTTGAATTCTTACAAACATAACCCAACAACAACAGCACTTACTTTCTTCTACGTTTTTGCAAAAGCAGGCCACCCAAACTATTAAAAGCATATTGTATACATGACAGAAGTCACATGCATTTTCTAAACCAAATAATTAAATTGCCAGAGTAATCATTATTGAAGTAAACAACATGTTCTATGCTTTGACTCCTGCAAGTCATGCATGGTAGCTCAAAGTACAGAAGAGTGCAGTGTAAAGCAGGATTTCAGGTTATAATTCCCAGCTCCAGAGAAAGACATGACATTACATAAAGAGGAGTGAAACACTAGCTCAGTCTGACAATTATATATTTTTCTGTGAAATGGCTATACTTCTTACCTCAGGAAGATTTTAATGAAACTTAACTTTTAAATACTTTGAGATGCTTACATAAAAAGTCATACAGAAAGGCAAAGTATGATGACTAAGTCTGAATAATTTGCTTTAAAATACAGCATGTCCTTACTAAGTCACCACCTACACCACAGAAGTGCTATATGTAGCAGAACTACTGTCATTCTACCAGTGGTGTGAAAGGGGACAGATACAATGCTATTTGCTGCAAGAACCTCCTTTGTCACTGGGTACTGACATTCCTTACGGGGGGCTATGTCTGTATGCACACATATCTTTGGAGAGTGAAGAACATGATACAACTTCATGCCAAGTTCTTCAGACCCAGAAGACCAGAAATAAGTACAGTTAGCCACCGAGCACACCTGACACCTGCACCCATGAAAACAGTAAGAAGTAGACCTGCCTGCAGTTCATGCATGGCTTTCAAAGATAGAAGGAGAGGAGGAGATTAATGCAGACTAATACTTTTTAGTAACTGGGCAGAATCCCACATTTGCACCCGGAAAGAACTCATCCCATTCTGAAGTGACCACAAGCTGAGGAAGACATTTCCAGATCTGATTAACAAAAGAATAGTGCAAGCTTTTCTGATTTTCTGGCGCTTCATAAATTTCCTCTAAATGAGTATGTATTACTTAATCCAAGAGACCATATAGATGTTAGCTACAAAGAGGGACACTGTACACTATTTCTGTTTTACGAAATACATTCTCTTTTTAAAGATCAGAAATTTTAGTGTTTGGGAGAAACACACGAGAAAGGAGAAGAAACTAGGAGAAACACACTGATAAGAACCACGATCTAAGAGATGGTCTTAACAACATATATGAACATTAAAAAAAAAAAAAAAATCACGTTATTGCAAGCACAGATGAGAATTTTCTTTCCAATGCTCTATGTGTGAAACAGATCTACACATCAGGCAACATAAATAATAAAGCTTAGTGTAAGTAGCACTAAGGCCACACAATTACAAAATTTGTTTGTCTTTACTCCAAAAACTTAATTTATATGAAGAAAGCTAATATAATTTAGACACCCTGGGGAGCTCAATACAATAAACCGTGCCAACATCTTCTATATATGCCAGACTATAATGCATATATAACCTCTAAACTTCCCCCGGGCTTTTCTGCACAATCTTCTCTCAGCAGGCAGAAAGTCATAGTTTTTAAGGCCAGAAGGATGACTGTGATGATCCAGTTTTACTCCTGTATAAGCCTCCTCTTAATTAATTACTGTTTCAAATCAAATAGCTCTGCTTAAACTAGAAAACATGTTGTAGAAAAACTATCCAATTTTCTTTTAAAGGAGTCTGGTTGTGAAGAACACACCACAACATCACTGTTCTAGTAAATAATTATGAGGGCAGTTAAACTGTGTGCCTTTTTACCCATCAAAATTTATTGAGGTTAGACTTCCAGCCATTTGATCTTCTTTTTATACAAACCCGCTAGACAGAATAGTTCTCTTACCCATTTCCTGTTCTCTATGCGGGTACTGATGGACTACTATCAAATTACCCCATGAACTTTCTCTCTGGTGAACAAAATAAATTAAGTACTTCCAAGTCTTTCCCTGTAAGCCGTGTTTTCCAATCTTTTAATCACTCCTGATATAACCCTGCAGTTTTAAACATTTTTCTTGAAGTGTGCATCCAGAACTGGACTCAGATTTCCCTGAGTGGCCGCACCAAGGACAAATTCTGAAATACTATACTCCACCTTAGCCTTTACATTGTTTTACAGCTAAGGATCAGATTATTCCGCTTTCTTGCAGTGCTGCATTGGGAGGTTATTTTCAATCATTCATCTACCGTGACTCACATGTCTTCTGCAGAGTCACTGCTTTTCAGATAAGCTCTCCTCTCCCAGAAATACCATGATCATCCTCTGCTCCTAGAACTACATTTCACTACAGGGTATACCATGGTTTGCTTTGACTGACCCTACCAGCTAGTCTGAACTGTGCTGCCCCAGCAACTTCCCTCTCTTCATCGCAGACACTGCTCCAAAATTGTCCTCTTACATACGGACTACCAGTCACAAATTTTTTTCTTCAAAATTATTTACAAAGAAAAATCTACGTGTAGCTCAAAGCAGATAGATGAGCACATCTTCCATCATGAACACTTCAACAACTCAAGTGATGTTAAATTAATGAACTGTTAATAAGTGGAGTCATGGCTCTGCTGATAAATAGTTTAATGGAAAAAGAGATCTTAATCTTTTCCTCCTACCATTTATCACTATGTAAATAAATAATCCTCCTGCTTAAGTGGTAAAGAGCTAATAATTATTTTGGTTAATATAAGAAAAGTTTACTAGCTTACTCCTTAAATAGTACTCCTTATACTCCTTAAAGTTATTACAATAATATCACAAGTTCACTGGTTGCACAGCTTTTCAGCATAAGTTTATATCTAATGCATATTGACTGTGATGGAAGAATCCTGATCCTTGGGCAAAGTCCTGTGACAGCACTTTAAACATTACTACCCTATAGCTCTCAAACCTATTCCCTGCTCACGGTTATCATTTCCACATTTGAAGTAAATGTGTCCATAGTTCATTTACCACAGCACACAGGACAACACATGAGCTTAAACCACTGCCGTGGGTGGAATGCTGTTCAGAATGGTGTATCTGCTCTGTGGGGTGACAACCAGTAGTACTGTTAAAAGGCATTTTTGGGAAATGAGGAGCCCGCTGTATACCCCGCTGTGCCCAGACTGCACACTGCAGAATCAAGATTTAAATATGCTGCCTTTTCCACATCGTTCAACCCAGATTAAAAATAACAACCAAACTTCCATGGTTTTCAAAACTTCTATACTGTGCTGGTTATGAGCATGATAGGCATTTAAATACAGGGCATTTAGATACATATAGAATATATATCTATATATTCTATACAGAACAAACAGTTCTTGGAATGATTTTAAAGATAAAGGCACCTTAGTCAACACAAGAAGTAACAGCCTAAGTATCTTGGGCCTGAACTTTTATGTCATGTCCCTTTTAAGGAGTAATTCAAAGAACAGCCCTATTAAATCTACATGGGGCATATCAAGTTGTAATTTGTTTTTTCTTTAATCAAAGAAAGGATTAAGTTCAAGGTACAGAAAGCTAAAGAAAGGATTCTACTCCCAATTAAATCAATAGCAAACTATCTACCAGTTTCAATAGGGGAAGATCAGAGGTGAAAGGAATCTATTTTCTGAGTTAAGCTCACGTCAGCTGTGGAAAGAAATACTTTGTGGAAACTGTATACAATTACTGTTCTTGAAACTTCAATGACTTACCAAAACAATAATGTCATGTTTGACTCCCTTTCCTCAAAATCAATATTTAAGAAAAAGCAACAAGCAAAAAACTTAACCAAACAAACTCTGGGCCACGGAAGAGTAGGTTGCATTCAAAAGATCTAGGGTATGAGTCAGAAAGATATGAGACATAAGACAAGAAAAGGTTCAGGCCAGAAAAGGTTACTGCATGCTTTAATCGTATATGATTGTGTCTTAAGTACATGAAGTATGCTGAAGAAACTGCATTTCATCTTATTTAAACAGAAAAAACCCCAAGGAAATTTCTAAACAGAGTCACAGAACAACTATGGTTGGAAGAGACCTTTGGAGGTCACCTGCTTCAATCAAGCATGAGGGTGTCCCATTAAGTTTTGAGTATCTTTTAAGACAGAGATTTCAAAACCTTTCTGGGCAACCTGTTCCAATCTTTGACTACTGCTGCTATAAAGATTGCTCCCTTTTACTTATTTGAAACCCTCCTTGCTGCTACTCATTTCAGTTGCTTCTTATTCTTTCACTATGCATGTAATAACCTGGCTTAGTCTTTGCTAATAGCTCCGTAAGTAGCTGGAAAACATGGCAGAATACAGTAGAGGAAATGTGGAAGAAGCCAGTCTATCTTATCTGAAGCAAGTGAATGCAGATAAGTAAAGAGCATGTAGAAATGCCTAAAGCATAATTCTAGGTTTGAAGAGATTCAAGTTCCTTTCCCCATCTGAAAATACATTTGCTGCTTGACCTTGTGGCAAGACACACCATCCCTCTGGCTATGTTGATACTAAGAAATAAAATGGAGCCAAGGCATGGGATTGAACACTGCCCTGGGATCATTTATACTACTTAAATATTAGTGCACTTAAAACCTGGCATGGCTTTGGCCTGGGCTAATTATAAAATCTGAGGTGATATTTAGGTGTGATTTGGATACAATACAAGCCTGGGACCATTCCCAAACTACCTGGAACCTAACTGTGGCTGGGATTAGAGGAAAGGCAGCTGAAAACCAGGGATGTGACCCTCATCTAGTTGTTTCGTCTCAAGGTCTGAAAGCCACCCTCAATCTGTTCTATTTAGCAGTACAGAAATAGTCTTCGTGACTCGGTTTCCCCTCTTGTACAACTGATGTAAAGTCTCCCACTACCCATAAAATTTGGAGCCATTCTAATAAAAACTAACATGCAAGTATTAGTTATATTTGTTTGCCTGCAAAACAAACAAACCATGCTAAGTAAGTTGGAAAAAAATCCTTACATCTGGACAACATAATTGCAGATTAAAACTGTCCTATGGACACGGCCAAGAACTGAAAGGCCAGGACTTCTTTCGTACTACAAAAAAAGTAGTAGTACAAACTACTACAAAGTAGTAGTAGTTTTTGTACTACAGCCTACAGTGCAACAGTTATTGCTACACCTTGGGAGAGAAACGAATGAGTGTATCACAGCTACTGAAACAAAGCATTTGGAAGCAGAGTTCTGATAAAGAAAAAGATCTGGAATAGATTTGTATTTTCTGTGGAGCTGTAAGAGCACCAACAGTTGTTTGAAAACTGATGTAGCACTGTATCAAGGAGAGCCAGGAGGAGAGTGAATCTCTCTACAGCCCTGATGCCACAGTTCAACTGAGGAAGAAACCTTGCTTTTTTTTGAAACTCACAGATGCTCTTCCTCACACCCAGGATAACAAGCATTAAAACACATCATACAAAACTGTGTAACTTCCTTTAGATGCAAAATCTTACCTCAGAACAAAAATAAAGATCTCTTACCAGGCAATCTTACAGGTTTCCATGGTGCAGAATTTGGCACATATGCATGTTTACTAGCAGTCACTATCAGCTGATTGCCCAACTTATACTGAAACTTGAGGAAGGCAGTGCCATCTGCTCCTGAGGTTCCAGATGCAATGGAGATCTGGTTGGTAAAAATCTCAATGAAGGCTTCAGTTACTGGCTGATGTGTGCTGGCATCACTTACATGGACCTTCAGCGTTACTTCTGTAATGACAAACAACCACAGCAATTACTGTCCAAAAGGCTTCTGTAGGAGGCAGCAGTTAGAACATGCTAGCACACCAATGACCAAAAAGACATGGGGCTCAGTGCTAACCTCTGACACTTCGGTCGCAAAGTACGACCTCTTGTCCTGGCCTGCAGTTCTCCATTTTGGGCAGTCACTCTTTAGAGACACTGCAGATTCTGCCACAAGCCAGACCAGATCCCGAACTATTGCCCTACTACTAAGTCCAGCAGTGGAGGCATCTATATTCCACCTATGACCCACATGCGGCTGGGCAGCACATCACCAGGGGCAGGCAATATTCCCTTTGATGGGCAACATGTCAGTCTCACAGTAGCATCCTGATTCAAAATGTGTGTGCTATCAAACATCACGTATTTGTCACAGGTAGCACAGCTCTCTAAGGTCCCTGCCTTGCTGTGCCTCTGCTCCACCCAGCCTTCCCCAACCGCAGTAGGGAGGGCAAAAGGCTGGAAGCAGGCTGTGCTCCCTCACCCCTTCCCCAAAACATTTCTCTCTTTGTGTAGCAAAGGAACAGAGGAAATCTGCTGTGACAGAAGCCCAGGAAGAAAGTGGGCAATGGAGTGGGCTGTGTAACAGTTGGAGACTTTGAAAAACGGTGGCAGAGATTGCCCCAGCTGGCAGAGGACTTCCCTGGTGATGTCTAACCAAGACGGTGAAATCCCACAGGATCGGGTCCTTGCCCTCAAAGCACAGGATGACCAGGTGGGATGCAGAGTGCTAGAAGTGAGGAAGAGAGAAACACTTTCCCCCCCGCCTCCCTGTTCACTGGTCCTTTTTCCAAAGGGGCAAAAATGTCACAGCCCCCAGTGATATCTGCTTGTCAGCTCTGACACTACTGTATTACCGGTCCCCACGTACAACTGGTGGGTACAAGAAGCAAAGAAGTGATGGTTATGGCAGTCAAAAGAATCATATATCTTATAGACATGCAGTCAGAAGCTAACACAATGGACTACATTTTCCTTGAGTAATTTGCCGTTTTTCCAGAAACTAATTACTTGTTTAAATGTTTCCAGATGTAAAATATTTGTCCACTCCGGGGCACTGCTATGACTAAACCATGCGTTGTGTCACCAGGCTTTTGTTACATAAAGTGGAGTGGCTTGTGCAAGACAGTCCCTCTGGAAGGCATTCCTTTATATCTACGACTATTTTTCTGCCCCTCCAATAGTTCCCCTGCCTCATGCTCTGAAGTAGCAGCTGTTGCCTTTCTTTGATAACTATGACTGAAATGCAGTGCTGTGTTGAAAAGAACCAGCAATGGTCCAATGCCTCCATTAAGCCACTCATGGATTTTTTCATTTACAGTCGCCTTGTTCTCCTAAATGAGTAACCACCTCCTTCTTTTCTCTTCTCTCCCACTCTCCCTTTTCTATCGTTCTCGCCCTCATCTTTGGAAATTCTGTTGTCCTTACATGAAGTCCCCTACCTCAGCTTACTCCACTCCCCAAGGTAGTGGATGATATTTTGCAAACTTCCTTTTTGTATCAGGGGAATTCAACCACTAACAAGCAAGACGCTCACACTCCATGTGCAACTTGTTTCTTCATGTGCTGCCCAGAAAAGAGAGCATGACCTCCTTTTCATATATCTTTAAAAACAATATATTGATTTCTACAGAACAGTATTGGTGGTACAGTTCTGTTTTATTACCACTGTGCGTTGTGATTTTAAGAACTTATTTTGGTGTAAGCCCTGAGCCAGCCAAGACGTAAGACTAAGAACAACAAAAAACTTAAAAAAATCTCTGTTATGAATTTCAACAGTGAAATGACACAACTGAGTATGCAGAGAAACATACTGTAACAATATAAAATTTTTAAAGGATGTCAGGATCTAATACAAAAATATCAGCACCTCTGTCCTAAGGGCATTTCAGCCAGAAAGATATCAGGCCCTTTTATAAGCAGAGACCTTCTGTCTGAATCCTACAGTACAGAAAATATAAACATCAGGCAGCCCTGAACAAAAACCCCATTAGAGAAATTCATCATCATCGCAGCCCTCACTTTAGAACTTGGCAATTCAGGATGCCAATTTAGAGGGGATCAGCATGAAATACATTCTAGCTATTAAAGATTCTGGACTTGTTCCCGGTTTTGCATTTAGTAGTCAAAGAGAACAGCGTATATAGAAAAACAGTGTCCATACATTCTGGTGTACATGTACAGAATGCCTCCTTAGAAACCTTGCCTTGACCACCAAGCAACTTGAGAAATCTTGTGCATGTGAAAGACAGACACATTAATCAGAGGAGGAACACACATGTGTTTATATATTTACAAACTGTACATGTATTTACAAACGTGAGGGCAAAAAGCAACATAAGTTTTTGTTTTCAAAATGTGCAGGAACAATATGCTTAGATCCAAAGCCAGATAGCTGTGCTGTTAATGGTTCCCACTTTGAATTGCCTTGCAAAGAATGCTGAAGAACAGATGCGGTTAAGAATAATGGGTCATGCATTAAAAAAAAGCAAGGAAAGAGGACAAGCTGAACATTGTGGTTAGCAATTTCAGTAACATGAAAGTTTAGCCTTTCCTCAAACAACCACATATAAGAAGGAACTGAACCAAGGAGCTCTGGAATATTAAGTACCAATCAAGGAAGAGGATAAGAAAACAACAGAAGTATCAAATCTATTTAATTCCTTATAGACATCCAAAATTCTAGACTAGAGACTACTACTAAAATTGATCAAGAGACAAGACTGATAAACAACTTTTCCTGTATACACAAGTATACAACAAGAGAGCTAACCATGGGTATCTCCAGTAGGAAATTCCTTTATCCTTTACTCTATAGCTATATAAGGTCTTCTGTCTGCATCCTTCTCTCTTTCTGATAAGGAAGGATAAGGGTTTCCAAAAATCCTGTTTCCAAATGGAAATGACAAAGGCCACCCCCTAAGATGGAAGATTGATGTCCTGAAAGGCAATGGACTGGAACTGCTGTTCCCAACCACAGTCCCTAGATCAGACGCTGGGCTTTTCTTCTCCTCCTTTTTAATATTTAGACTTGTTTTTTTTTTTCCTGAGAAGATAGAGAAAATCCTAGCAGCCTGAACAACACTAATTCCTTTTCATGTGTTATCTTCCCTGACATACGTGCGAAATGTATAAAACTTGCTTAATTCAGGGCTTTCTCCCACGCAACAGCTCCTTTTTCTTCTTATCTAATGCAGCAGTGAAGTCATGAGCACTAAACCTACATTATCACAGTAATTTCCACAGCAACAGAATTATTACAAGCTTTAAACTGGAGAGAAACGGTTGAAGGAAACCTCCTCTCACACAGTGAGAGTGATGAGAACAATCTATAGAGACTACTATGAAAACTTAAAGCTATACAGTAAGTTTCAGAATTGTTAGGAGATATTCAGGCACTTCTTGAAGAACAGGAGAACTGAAGAAGGGAAAGAAGAGAGCAGAATAAGGACAGCAAGTGATCCAAGATCAGTCTGACCTCAAATTAATAGGGAGGTCTTAGACCAAAGCATTAGGTATAATAAGAGAAGTATGTAATTGGAAAAAGATGCTTAGAAGACTCATTATTAGCCAAGGAATAGAGTCTTTAAAATATCTGGCAAACTTTTTAGTTGGTACTCTCAGCAAAACAGTGGGGATAAAGCACATACATTATTCTTGAGTTTTACAGCCTACCACAGCAAGGAGCTCACACAGAATTAAAGACACATGGACTTAGAGAAGGAAGGACATCTGCAGTAAGTGGGGAATACGATGGAGGCAGGGAACAGAAAGCATTACAGCAGATGAACTCCAAGAACGTGAACTGCTAAAGAGAAGCATGCTTCATTCTTCCAGATATTTGTGACACTGTTGTGCTTTCTATTATTTACTACAGTGGGAATATTCAATTACCAAGTTCTGAAAGAGCTTTGCTCTGTGCTACTAGTGAGGTCCTGGAGGAAAGAAGGGGACGTAAAGGTGCACAGTGCTGATGGTTCCTCACTGCAGAGCAAAGCAGAGGCGGCTGAGGTGCCAGACCCTGGGCTGATGAACTCACCCAAGGCAGCTGTGTGTGGCCACTCACCTCCCTGGACAGGCCAGCCACATTTAGAACAGGCTATGCCTGAGCTGATAGCCCTGTCTAATATACCTGGCTCCTGACCAGTGTGGTTCACAACGTGACTCGCTCAGACGCGGGCTGTCTGGCACGTGGTTCCCTGCTGGCTTGCAGCACAATGCAGGTGGGCACAGGTAGAGCCAGAGTAATTTGCCTGCACCACTAGCACATGCCCTGACATTATATTCCTACAGGAATGGTCCGTGTCCAAAGCAAGAGCTACTTATGATAGCTCTTCATTGCCAGGAGATAAACCATGGGCAAAGATATCCTGTCTGGATGGGCAAAAAGACTATGTGTCCCTGTCTAGAAGTGCAGCTAGGAATGGGCCACTCACAACCGTGAAACAGGGCATGCCATCCGGGGAACCCTGCAACGCTGCTTCAGGAATCCCAAGGCAAAGCGAGAAAAGGAGGTTAGTGGGAAAACAGCAAATACAGGGTTACATTCCACAAAGAGATCAAGATTGCTGTATGTGTATGCTCAAGCGAGTAAGTCTAGCCTAAATTCCTTTTCTTATATTCCTTTGTCTTCTTTCAGCAATCACATCTTACTTTCAAACAAGCACAAACCAAAACTACTAGTTACAGTGAAAACAGCTGCTTTAAGTGTAACTCCCTCCCAGTGTTCTAGTACTAAATTTATTGTCAGCTATATAAAAAATCCCCAGCATCTCCAAGGTTATAATTTGGGAAAGTGAAATTAAAAAAGACAGAAAAAAACCCCTTACATGTTAGCATTCTAATCCAGAATCCCATCTGTCGCCTTAATCTGATTTTTGAGATTTTACTAAGTCTAAACTTTCTCTGAGTAATTCTCCCCGTGCCATCTGCTTTATGAACCATACTGCCTCCTCTGAAGTTT